CAGTTCTAATGAGGCAGATGAAATTACAGTTTATTTTACAGAGTGAAGTAAGTCAGAATGAGTAAAACAAATATCATATATTAATGCATACATATGGAATCTAGAAATATTGTACTGATGAACCTACTTGCAGGGCAGCAATGAAGATGTAGACATAGAGAACAGACTTGTGGACACAGAGGGGTAAGGATAGTGTGGGATGAATGGAGAATAGCATGGCAACATATACACTACCATTTGTGAAATAGATAGCCAGTGAGAATTTCATGTGTGACTCATGGAACTCAAACAAGGCTCTGTGACAACCTAGAGGGGTGCAATGGGGTGGGATGTCAGAGGGAGTTTTAAGTAGGAGGGGTCATATGTATACCTATGGCTGAATCATGTTGATGTGTGGCAGAAACCAACACAATATTGTAAAGCAAGTATTCTTCTATTAAATATAAGTAAGTTTTTAAAAAAGAAGTTCACAGGCTCAGAGAGGTAGAGAGATTTGCCCCAAATCACAAACCAGTAAGAGGTGGCACAAGGAATGCCTCACCCATGGCCTTACTGCTAACCTAAGCTACCGTTAGCTCTAGCAGCCCACAGTCTACACCATCTTCCTAACTGGCCTATAGACTCACTGGAGGGCAAAAATACTGTTTAGCTCTCATGCATACTCTTGCACTGAATTCACTCTCAAGAGCATACTTGGGGAGAGGATTTCTCCCTTTAACCTGGAAAGAGGGGTTCCTCTCAACATTTCAGAGAGCTTCTAGAAACAAGTTACATGAGGTGGTTCTCTAAGTATACACTAAAAAAATCAAACATGTGATATCTGTTGACACAAGGGTTTATTTTTAATGAAACTAGATAGTTTAGTTTAACTTAGTTTACATAGGTGGTAGGTGAAGCTATAATAAGGTGCAAGGAAGAGATACTGTGCAAGGATCAGGATGGCAGATTTCTCTATTGAGGAGACACCATTGTGGTCAGAGAGGGGAGCTGTGGGGGCTCTGTGGTTTTAATAAAATTTGAGTTACTATTTTGGGTGGTGGTTACATAGGTTTTCACATTATAATTATTCATTATTAATCTCTGTATATGTTTCATGCTTCTTATGTATGCTATATACTACTTCAAAACTGAACCCAGCAAAAGGGAATATGAAGGTCCCAAGACACAAATGCTGAGATTTGAATAAAGGTATTAACAGCAACCCACTCTAATATTCTTACCTGGAAAATGGAACCTGGTAGGGACAGTCCATCAGGTCACCAAGAGTCAGACATGACTGAGCACACATGCATTAACATGGCTACATGAAGAAGATGTTATCAGTCAGAAGGGGTAGGTTACTCATTCATAAAACAAAACTTTTAATGCCAACCTAACCACTGTTTGGGCAAAAATGTCTCTACTGACTTGACTGTGAGTATTCCTGGTGCCTTTGTCAACACAGTATCTAGTCTAAGATAGACATATCAGAAGATGTTAGCCTCATGCCATTAGCAGACCAGGAGTTTCTATGCAAGATGTCAACTCTTCCCCCATCTCCTGCCTCCTGAATTACCATAATCTGCTTCTTTATGATCTGAAACCACTACATATCAGAATTCTGCCCCCCTATCAATCACACACACACACACACACACACAAACACTCTCTCTCTCTCTCTCTCTCTCTCTCATCATAACAGTATATGGATGTTTTTCAGGGGACATTGTGATAAAATCCTCATCATCTCATGTTCATCTAAGCCAGTTATGATGCATCCATTATCACTGACAATCACTGACTTGGGGTTGGTTATGTGACCAGATTCAGTCTCATATTCTTGGGATGATGGGGGTGGAAAGCATTATGTCACAGTTTTCTTGCTCTTGGAAAAGGAACACTGGAAGATATTTTCCATTTTCCCTAAATATTACCATTTCTAGATATGAACTCTGTATTGCTACAGACATCTAGGGACCAGAATGATGGAGGACACTGAGGTGGATAAGAAAAGAGGGAAAGAATCTGAACCCTTAATAACACCCCTGAACTGGGCTTCTCCATGTCTAGATCCCACCCTACTTTGCACCTCCAGTCTACTTGGGAATTAGACCAAATTTGTTAATGACTAAGAGCTACCTGCCAGGCACTACTATTGACCCTGAAGATACTAAAGTAAACAAAATGGACATCTGTCTCTGCCTTCACAGAACTCATATTTTGGGGTACCTGTATAAACAACAAATAAATGACTGAATTACACTGTAAGTAGGAATATTATGCTGCTATGGAAAGCAGATTAGAGCAAGTTGAGCAGGCTTTATAAATTATCAAGGAAAGAAGAGAAGTGAAAAGTAAGGATAAGGGAAAGGTAACCAACTGAACGTAGAGTTCTAGAGAACAGTGAGATAAGAAGGCCTTCTTAAATGAAGAATGCAAAGAAGTAGAGGAAAACAATAGAGTGGGAAAGACTAGAGATTTCTTCAAAAATACTGGAGATATAAAGGGAAGATTTCATGCAAGAATGGGCACAATAAAGGATAGAAATGGTAAGAACCTAACAGAGGCAGAAGAGATTAAGAAGAGGTGGCAAGAAAACACAGAATAACTATATGAAAAAGGTCTTAATGACGGTTTTCAATGATGGTGTGGTCACTCACCTAGAGCCAGACATCCTGGAGTGTGAAGTCAAGTGTGCCTCAGGAAGCATCACTAAAAACAAAGTTAGTGCAGGTGATAGAATGCCAGTTGAGCTATTTCAAATCCTAAAAGATGATGCTCATAAAATGCTGCACTCAATATGCCAGGAAATTTGGAAAACCGAGCAGTGGCTGCAGGATGGAAAATGTCAGTTTTCATTCCAATCTCAAAGGAAGGCAGTGCTAAAGAATGCTCAAAATGAAAGAAAGTGAAAGTAAAGTCACTCAGCCGTGTCCAACTCTTTGGGACCTCATGGACTGTAGCATATCAGGCTCCTCCATGCATGGAATTTTCCAGGCAAAAATACTAGAAAAGGTTGCCATTTCCTTCTCTAGGAGATCTTCCCAACCCAGGGATTGAACCCAGGTCTCCCACATTGTAGGCAGACGCTTTACCATCTGAGCCACCAGGGAAGTCCATTGGCAGGTTGGTATAAACCCCCAACAGGGTTTCTGCCATAAGCCATATGAGGTCACTGTGGGACTGTGGAACTGCAGAGCAGGGCTCCTCACTTGCTTCGAGCAGGGCATGTCATTCATTCACACAAGCACACTGTAGAGTTAGTAAAGTACAGCAGAAAGCATGTTCACTAGGAGAACAAAGAACTAGAGCTCCAAGCATCTTTACTTGTCCTGAAGAATCCTGGACAAGCCCCCAAGATGAAAGGTTGCTGCTAAACCACAAAAGACACCAGGATTCTTGGCCTCCGGAGGAGAAGAATTCAACCCAGGGCCAGTGACGAGGTTTTGTGTAATAAAGTTTTATTAAAGTATAAAAGATAGAGAAAATTTCTGACACAGACATCAGACAGGGGGCAGAAAGAATGCTCAAACTACTGCACAATTGCACTCATTTTCCATGCTAATAAGGTAATTCTCAAAGTCTACAAGTTAGTCTTCAGCAGTACATGGACTGAAAAATTTCAGATTTACAAGCAAGGGTTTAGAAAAGGCAGAGGAACCAGAGATCAAATTGACAACATTCACTGGATCATAGAGAGAGCAAGGAAATTCTAGAAAAACATCTACTTCTGCTTCATTGACTACACTAAAGCCTCTGACTGTGTGGATCATGACAAATTATGTAAATTAAAGAGTTGAGAATTCCAGACCACCTGACCTATCTCCTGAGAAACCCGTATGTGGGTCAAGAAGCAACAGTGAGAACTTTACATGCCAGAACTGACTGGTTCAAAATTGGAAAAGGAGTAAGACAAGTCTTTATACTGTCACCTTGTTTATTTAACTTATATGCAGAGTACATCACATGAAATGCCAACTAGATGAATCACAGGCTGGAATCAAGATTGCTGGAAGAAATATAAACAACCTCAGGTATGCAGATGATACCACTTGAATGGCAGAAAGTAAAGAGGAACTAAAAAGCCTCTTGATGAAGGTGAAAGAGAAGAGTGAAAAAGCTGGTTTAAAATGCAACATTCAAAAAACTAAGACCATGGCATCCAGTTCCATCACTTCATGGCAAATAGAAGGTGAGAAAGTGGAAGCAATGACAGATTTTATTTTGAGGGGCTCCAAAATCACTGTTGATGGTAATTGCAACCATGAAATTAAAAGATGCTTGCTTCTTGTAAGAAAAGTTATGACAAACATAGACAGCATATTAAAAAGCAGAGACATCACTTTCCCTACAAAGATCTGCATAATCAAAGCTATGGTTTTTCCAGTAGTCAGGTATGGATGTGAGAGCTGAATAATAAAGAAGGCTGAGCACTGACGAACTGATGCTTTCTAATTGTAGTGCTGAGGAAGACTCTTGAGAGTCCTTTGGACTGCAAGGAGGTCAAACCAGTCAATCCTAAAAGAAATCAACCCTGAATAGTCATTGGAAGGACTGATGCTGAAGCTAAAGCTCCAATACTTTGGCCACGTGATGTGAAGAGCTGATTCACAGGCAAAGACCTTGATGCTGGGAAAGACTGAAGGCAGGAGGAGAAGGGATGACAAAGAATGAGATAGTTGGATGGTATTACTGACTCAATGGACATGAGTTTGAGCAAAGTCCAAGAGATGGTGAAGGACAGGGAATCCTGGCATGCTGCAATCCATGGGGCTGCAAAGAGTCAGACACAACTGAACAACAATTGGAAGATTGTGAACACTGGAAGCATGAGTTATAGACAAAGTGTATATATTTCTATATTTATAGACATGATTTAGCCACTGAACTATAACTACAACAAAGATCTGGAATCTGGAATGATATGGAATCATTGGAAAGATCTGGAATGTTGAGAAATTGGAAATTTTGTTAAGTAGTCAGGATAAGCCTCACTCAGAAAGTGATATTTAGGCAAAGATTTGAAGGAGTGGGTGGGATGAGCCATTAAATATGTAGGGGAAGAACATTTTAAACATTTTAAACATTTAAAGTCAGTTGAAGAGCCTTCAGGTAAATTGTGATTACTTAACTTAAGGTAGATATGGAGGAATTTCATGGTAGTGTATTTGGATTTCAGAGAAATAACACATCAAATCTTGCAGAAACTTGTAGGTCATGTAAATATTTTGATGTTGTGTTGTTGCACTAATCAAGGCAAGAAGTTGTAGTGGCTTAGAATCAAGTGGTAGGAGTGGGGAAGGCAAAATTTTTCATACTTCCATTCTACTTAGACCACAGAAGCAACAGGATTTCTGGATGGATATAATGGTAAGACTGATCCCAATATTTTTAAATATTTATTTATTTGGCTGTGCCAGGACTTAGTTGGAGCATGTAAGATCTTCAATCTTTGGTGCAACATGTGGGATTCTTAGTTGGGGCATGTGAATTTTTAGTTGGGGCACGTGGGATCTAGTTCCCTGATCAGGGAATTGAAGCCAGGCCCCCTATATTGGGAGCACAGAACCACCAGGGATTCCTCTGACCCCAATATTTTTAAGTGAGTATCTGAAAGGCTGATGTGAACTGAGATGACAACCAACAGAATTTGATTGACTGAAATGAAATAAGTTCATTTTTTGTATGACTGAAATGTAATGTTTATTGGATATCCATGTGTGCTTCCAGGTGGACAGTGACAACAGACTCTGGAGCCTAAGTTGGATATCAAAGCTGGGGAGAAAAAAAAATCTGGGGAGAGAAGAGGGTATAGATGGCATAGAAAGCCATGGTCCTGGATGAGGTCATGAAAGGAATGAGTGTAGGTAGAGAAGAGGATAAGGATTCAGTTCTGAGGTTTGTCAATATGGAGAGAACACAAGGAAAGGAGGAGAACAAGCCAAGGAAACTGAGCAGCTACAGCTACATAACATCAGGGAACAACCAGGAATGTGTTGTCCTGGAACCCAGGTGTGTAGGCGTCAACCTGACTGGATCATGGGGTATCCAAATATGTGGCTAAACATCATTTCTGGGTATGTCTGCAAGGCTATTTCCGGGTGAAATTAACATCTGAATTTAATTTGGACTGGACTCAGAAAAGAAGTTTGCCCTTCCCAGTGTGAGGGCAAACAATGCTGAATAGAACAAAAAGGTGGAGGAAGGAAAACCTGGGCCTTTCCTGCCTGACTGAATGAACTGGGACATTGATCTTCTACTGTTCTTGGTGCTGCAGTTTCTCAGGTCTTCAGACCCTGACTGGAATCTACATCATTAGTTCTCTTGGTTCTCAGGCTGCTGGAGTTGAAATGAATTAAGCCACCAAGCTTCTCTGGGACTCCAGCTTACACACACCAGATTGGGGGACTTCTCTGTCTCCACAACTGCATAAGCCAAGTCCTTTAAGGAATCTCTTCCTGTATATATATCCAATTGTTTCCATGTCTCCAGAGAATGTTAAGTGATACACCAGGGGAGAAAGTAGTTCCAGGTGGAAGGAGTGATTGACTTGGCCCAAAATTATAGACAGGATACACAAGAAGGAACTGTGACATAGCCACTGACTTAGAAATATTGATGTCATTATTACGTTGATTAGAACAGTTTTAGTTCAGGTGAAGATGTCCTCGCTCAATCACAGTGAGATTAAGACAGAATGGAAGGATAGGGAACTAGAGACAGTGAGTGTAGACCCTCACTATGTGAGGTAGGCTACCAACGGGAGGAGAAATGTCCCCATAGGGAGTAAGAAATAGGGAGGCAAAAAGAAGGGTTTTTTTCTGTTTTTTAAATAATAATAATAAATCAATTTTTATTTTGACAGGAGTAATCTACCAGAGGGAGGGAAAGTGATGCAGATGTTACAAATGCTCTGAGATCATGAACTTCCTTTTCCATTGAGCCAACCTAGAAAAGAATTTTCTGCTCCTTGCAACCCAAAGGATTTTCAATAATAGAGTGAACAGCGTCTTCACATGTGTAAGTCTTTTCTGTTTTATGCCCACTGAGGTATAATTTTTCATAATGCTCTCATTCTGGTGTGGGTGATAAATTATATGCTCACACTAACTAGTTATGGACATTCGTTCTGAAGCCATAGATTCCAACCCTGGGCCTGCCACTTAACAGTTGACATCTCCAGCAAATTACTTCTGTGCCTCAGTTTCTTCATATGAAAATGGGAATAACAATGGCATGTATCTCATGGGGTTTTGCTGAACAAATGAGGTAAAGCACTTTAAAAACATACAAAAGGATGTGATATATGGTAACTATTTCATAAATATTAGGTATTATTAAATCTGCATGCTACATGATGCAATATTCTCCTTTACCATATAGAATGTACACTGCTTCCTGGTCAGTGTTTCCCTTTCACACATATACTCTTAAAGGTAATTAGTTAAAATAAAACTAACAAAGGGAACTTATACACAGCTCCCTCTTATAGGCAAGGAAGCTGGGAAACTAAGCAGTTAATTAACAAAGAATAGGAATTTTAAAATAAATGATAACATATGGACTGTGTCAAGATGCCTGGACTGATGTCAATATTTTGCATTAACGTGATTGGGCCATAGAAAGTGCCCAGATGGTAAGTCAACCATTATTGTGAGTCTGTCTGTGAGGGAGTTTTAGATAAGATCAGCCCTGGAATAAGTGGACTGAGTAAAGCAGGTTGCCCTCTAATGGGAATGGCCCGTACCAAACAGTTGAAAGCCTGAATAGAACAAAAAAGCTGAGCTTCCTTCAAGGAGGACAGAATCAAGTCTGACTGCTTGAGGTGGGACTCTGGTCTTTTCCTGCCTGTGGACTTGAATTGAACAAGCACATCTTCTTGAGGCTCAATCTCAGCACTTTTGGATTAGAACTTACACCACTGGCTCTCCTGGTTCTCAGCCTTTGGACTCAGACAAACTGTACCATCAGCTCTCCTAGGTCTCCACCTTGCTGAATGCATATCCTGGGGTCTTGTCAGCCTCTATAAATATGTGAGCCAATTCCTAATAAAAAAATCTCTTTCTCTTCTCTCTCTCTCTCTCTCTCTCTCTCTCTCTCTCTAAATATCCTATTGGTTCTGTTCCTCTGGAACCCTGACCAATACACTTGTGAAGGCACTAGTTACTGGTGCAAATAAAATTACATGATGACATGATGGAACTCAGTGAAGACCTGCAGTATGATCACAGAATTTACAGATACTCCATCAGGGTCACAAAACAGGGTTTTAATAAATAATTATCTGATGGTTATTAAAGGCTATGGTAGGCAGAATCCTAAAACTGGTCTCCCAAGATATCTCACCATAATCCCAGATACTGTGAATTAGAGGAGGAATCACATGCACATTTGTGTTATATTTGCATGGCTAATGGGAGTTTGCAGTAGTAACTGAGATTATTAAACCACTGACCTCAAAATTGAGAGATTATCCTGAATTATCCAAAGGAGCCTAACATAATAACAGCAGTCCTTTAAAAGCAGAGACATTCCCTAGCTTGCAGCAGAGGAAACCAAGAGAAATTTGAAGCACAAGGTTTTGACACACCATCACTTGCTTGAAGATTGAGGGAACCATATGATGAGAAAAACAGGCAGCCTCTAGGATCTGAGAGCAGCTTCAACAACACCCTGCAAAGACATAGTTCAGTCCCGCCACCATAAGAGAGAAATTCTGCCAATCACCTGGATGAGCCTGGAAGCTGCTTCTTCCCCAGAGCCTCAGGGTAAGATTCCAGCCACACTGACACCTTGATTTCAGCCTCGTAAGACCCTAAGCAGAGAACTTATTTGATCCATGAAGCATGTATTATCTATGGGACTGGGAAATAATATATATGGGCTGGTTTAAGCTGCCAAATTTGAGGCAATTTGCTGTGCAACAATCAAATACTGATCACAGTGCTCGGGCCTGGTGCACTGGGAAGACCCAGAGGGATCGGGTGGAGAGGGAGGTGGGAGGGGGGACCGGGATGGGGAATACATGTATATCCATGGCTGATTCATTTCAATGTATGACAAAAACCACTGCAATGATGTAAAGTAATTAGCCTCCAACTAATAAAAATAAATGGAAAAAAAATAAAATAAAATTTTTTCTGAAAAAAAAAAATACTGATCACAGGTATTTAAGTTATTGGTGTACTGAATCTGTTGGGCATAAGGTAATTCTCTGCATTATCCAATCTACTGGAGAGGTTAAGGAATCATTTCTGGTCCAGTGATAATCACACATATCTCAAAGGTGCCAACTGAAATAAGCATCACCAAAGTCACAGTGAAGAGAATTCTGACTCGAATTGTAGTGAAGACTAATTGAAAAATAGAGGCAAAAACAGGCAGCCTGCAGTGGGACAGCAACATGAGGTCACATGGCTGTCAGATGGGGCCATACTCAACATGAAGGGCTTGGGTGCAGGAGCTGCCCACTCAGTCCCTACCCTTTAGATATGGCAGAACATTCAGTTCCCACTTCCTCTTAAGGGCAACAACAGGCAAGCACAGTTAGGGGAACTGCAGGTAGTGGTTCTCAATTAAATTGAAATAAATTATTATGAAAAAGGGTTTGATGTCACATACATTCTTTGAGGCTCTGGAGGCAGACAGACTGGCTCCAAAACTGTGATCTTAGCTGGCTTTCAGAATTCTGATTTATTAACTGTGTGTGACTGTGTCTGTGTGCATGTATGTAGGTAAGGCGCCTCCTCCATCAACAATCCTGACAAATCTTTCCAGACCACTGGGTTTAAGATAGGCCTACATGATTCTGTACTAAGAGACCAGGCCCAGCTTGCCTGATTGCTCTAACCCCAGAGCTTACCACAGCACATGGAATGGATGCATCCCCTGACTTTTACAGCAGCTCCCTGTCCTCAGGAGCCTCTACTACTAGTGTACTGGCGACTTCCTGGATTCATCATCACTGTTGGCCTTTCTAATATCTCTCAGCTTCTGAAATGTCCTCACAATGGGAGCCCTTGGAAATCCAAGGCTTTGCAAATAAAAAAATGATGGAAACATAAAAATCACTAAAAAAAATGTAACTGGAGAGATTAATTAGTGAATATAAGGCTGGTATAAGAATACCAAGAGAAAGGGATGACAGAGGATGAGATGGTTGGATGGCATCACCAATTCGACGGACATGAGTTTGAGCAAGCTCTGGGAGTTGGTGATGGACAGGAAAGCCTGGTGTGCTGCAGTCCACTGGGTCACAAAGAGTCGGACAAAACGTAGCAATTGAACTGAACTGATAAGGTTGGTAATGTGATTATTTAATTGTTCTGCTGAAAATCACAAATATTCAGGATTAGGGAATCACATCCCCCCGCAAACAGTGGAATTTTCCAATACAGGCCTTACTGTTCACAGTCACAATATGATCTGACTTCTGACCCTACTGCCTCTCTTCATTCTCAGCCCTAATCTTTGTCTCCTCTTCCTCTTTTCCCATCTTGCACTGTACATGTCCTCCATGGATACTTCTAATTCAGAAAGTACACTTCTTTTTTGGTTTGTTTTCCTGTGAGATCCTAAGGGCTGGCACCATGGTTGCTTTGCTCTTTGCTTATCATGTAGGACATACACTGCAGGAAACATCTTAGGCATTGCTGAAGGTTTGTTGCATGCGACTCTTTCATACTGAAACTTTAACACCAAAAACATCCATTCACAAACTGGGGATAGTACAGTATACACTTTCTACACAGGTAACATAGCTGTGGTTGATGAGTATCAGGTGCCACGCAAACTCTTCTAGAAACTCAGGAGATTTTGGAGGACAAGAACTGGCTCTTTTCTCCATGTGCCTTTACACAGTATATGGCACAGTTTTTAGCCCGCAGTATGGCGAAAAGCAACACTTTCCAGAACTGAGTCATGTATATGCCTTTCCATGTTTGCCATCCCCAAGTATAATGTTATAAGCTTAATACTGTCTATAAAGGAAAAGTACTATTTGTCATGAGAAAGACTCTAAAAATAAACAGAATGATGAGATAGAGAAACAGTATAGAATTTTCCAATTTACATTGATGACTCTCAAAAACACAAGAATGTTCTTCAAATACTTTTTTAAATTGTCGAGATATGCAGACAATGGATTGTGACAGGAGTTCTAAATCCCAACTCTGCCACTTCCTCACTCTGTGATGAGCAAGACATCTATCCTCCCGGGCCTTAATTCCCTGATTTATGACACTGGAATAATGGTACTTATGCTACAGGGATTTTATGAAAACTGTCAGTGAGTTATGAAAATAGCTGACCCACAGTATCTCCCAAAGAGATTCTATCATCTCTTCTGATATGTAGTTAGGAAACAGCAACAAGAGAAATAGGATTCCTTTACAAGAACTCTGGGAATTACACACATCAGAAGATTCATCCAAAGCAACAAGTCATAAAGCTTTCCTGTGAGGTGTAGGCTGATACTAAAAGCAATGTGATCAAAGTTAAAATGAAGTTTAGAAGCCAAGAGTCTAATTGGTGTCCTCTGCTAGGAGATCTTCTATTTTATGAAAACTGCTAACAAAACCACTGATTTTTCAATGTGCCCTGAAATAAATACCCAAGAAGATGGAAGAAATGCAGTTTGGAAACAGGATCTTTTCTCTATTAGTGCCACTTTCACAAATTAATGCATTAATTCAGTGAATATTCAGTAGTGTCTCTCCAGCTGTATCAGAAAGTTTGCTGGACCATGGACTGACAAGACCCATGGTTTGACAAAGACAAACATGGCCCTTGCCCTCAAGGATATCACAATGTACCAAGGGAGGCAGATACATTCAGTACATAAACTGATATCATCTGCGTGACTACAGTGTGTTCTCAGTAATGTTCTGGGCTGGTGGAGATTGACCAGTGAGCAAGAGAGAAAGATCTCTAAGATCAAGGACCTTGCAGCTGGGAACTATGGGGGAGGACAGAGATAAGTACAACATAACAAAGAAGTAAATAAGAG